ATAGAATAGAATAGAATAGAATAGAATAGAATAGAATAGAATAGAATTCTTTATTGGCCAAGTGTGATTAGGTTCAAATGCTCTCAATGTACATAAAAGATAAGATACATTCATCAAGAGTCAAGAATCATAAGGTACAACACTTAATGATAGTCATAAGGTACAATAAGCAATCAAATCATACTAGGAAACAGTCAGTATAAACCGTAAGGATACAAGCGACAAAGTTACAGTCATACAGTCACAAGTGGAAGGGGGCGGGTGATAAGGAGTGATGAGAAGATTAATAGTAATAGCAGTGCAGACGTAGTAAGTAATTGGACAGTGTTGAGGGAATTATTTGTTTAGCAGAGTGTAGGATCTCCTGCTTGAGCGGGGTTGGACTAGATGACCTACAAGGTCCCTTCCAACTCTGTTAATCTGTTAATGTTCTGACATGACTGTTGGAGAGACCCGTCCCTCTAAAGACAGACACTAGGATTTTTAAAAAAAGAAGTAAAGTTGCTTTCCCCGACCTCATTTTATATACCCTGTTTGTAAAGACCAAACCTCTGGAAGTTGTAAATAGGTGTAGTCCTTCTAGCTAGCTTAGGAACTGGTTGGACGCATTGATTGATCCTCCCGCTGATTATCAGCTGACCAAAATTGCCGATCGATTTGTCTTTTTACCTGGGCGTTGTTCAGAGCATGTGATGCGGCTGTGCCCAGGTGACTCACGGAGTGTCATCCTAACCAACCTCTTGCCCAGGGCACCCATCCTAATGTATATGGCATTCAGAATGTCAGATCAAGAGCTGTCAAAGTTGCAATTTTTTGGGGGGGTTTTATATGGTTTTATATATATATATTCAAAAATGTTTTTTATTTTATTTAACAACAAATCCATCTTTCAGTTATACAGCATGTGGACGGGGTACATATGACTTGTGCAAATATTTATATTTTGTATATATATTTATATAAACATTTATATTTATATTTTGTGTACATTTCTTCCTCTGATTACATTCATATTAAAAACTACTCGACCTGATATAAGCTCATCATTGTAACACTATTCATTGAACTTCTTCCTTTATTTTCCAACCATTTACAAAATAAATCCCATATCGTATAATAGTCCGCTTCTTCTTGTTCTTTAATTGTGAATGTTAATCGACTCATTTCTGCACATTCCAATATTTTCATAATCTCCTCTATAGTTTATTTATATATGGTTCACATTACATACATTGGTCCTTTGTGAACAGCGTAGGGTCTGGGTCATTTATTTATCTATTGTATAGCAATACTTTCCCCCTCTCCTGGTTTCTACCTCTACTATCCAAAACTTGTACAAGTCCCATGTATTCGAAAATACTCTGTGTCTTATTTTTCTTTTCATTTTAGTGTCAGTTCATCCATTTCGTTGCAATCTGATTTTTTTTTTTAATTGCATCTTCTTCTGTAGGTGTTTTCCTCATTTTCCCCGCCAATACTATGCATATATACACTTTGTGCTTCTGTCAAAATATATAATATTAAATATAGACTCCCTTTATCATACTTTTCCGGTATTAAGCCTAACAATAATATTTCTGGCTTCTCATCTATATTTGTGATGGCGAACATCCACAGGTGGCACGCGGTGCCCTTTGTGCAGGCATACAAGCCCTAGCCAAACTTACCTGCATTGCGCATGCGCGCGCCCCCCAGATGATTTTTGGCCTGTTTGAGGCTGTTTTCGCTCTCCCGGAGGCCTGAGGGAAGCTTCTGCAAAGCCTCGGGAGGCCAAAAAATGGGTGTTCTGGAAATACCGTAAGTGATGAAGCGGGCCCATTTTTCAGCCTCCTGAGGCTGCAGAGGCTTCCCTCGAGCCTCCGGGAGGGCGAAAATGGCCTCAAATGGGCCGAAAATCAGCTGGGAGGCACGCACATGTGCAGTGCAGGTAAGGAGGTGAAGCAGGGCTGTTCTGTGAGCATGCACAGGGGGCGTGCATTGCATTGTGGGTGCCGGCACGCACACACTTTCGACACACCACAACAAAAAGGTTCGCCATCACTTTCCTTGCGTGTAGCCAAAAGCAGAAGAAGAAAGAAGTGGAAGGAAGCAGCCCGGTGGCCAGGACAGGTGTGTGGGATGAGTGGGGCAAGTTCCCCCTCTCCTCCCTTCCCCCCCTCCCCTCACTACCTCGTGTTGTGCACAATGCAAGCGACACAAGCCTTGTGTTCCCACGGGCCATGTGGCCAGCGCAGCCTTGTGTTTCCGCACAGCCTGGATTAATTGCTTTGGGGGTGACATTTCTTTGCAGACCACCAAAATTTTCTCATGGACCACCAGTGGTCCCCGGCCCACCGGTTGGTGACCACTGCTTTAGACTGTCCCGGGAATGGTGCCTCTGGTAAGAGGGAAGGATAATATTAATTACAAGGGATTTATTTTGGCCTGCGAAGGGAGAACAGCTTTGATCTAATGAATGAGACAAGGTAGTCCATTGGTTCAGATGTTGAAATGTCAGAAATTCACGTGTGTGTGTGTGTGTGTGTGTGAAACCTAAAAAGAGATTGTCCTTGTATACCTGGAGTAGCTGGTCTTAACCCAGTCTTGGATTTTATGATAGGGTTTACCGTGATTGTCAGAGCGTTAATTGCTTTGGTGAATTTAAAAACCAGCTACATCTGGATGAATTTGCATATGGAAAAATCAGTTCTGTTGCCAAACACAACTTCCTTCCTGCAAAACACACACACACACACACACACACACACACACACACACACACACACA